TGATTTTTAGGTTAATTTTTAGGTCCTACCACCGCTCGGAAATGTCCAAGACATTTGTGCCGTCAGGGGCATTCAGGTCCCTGCCAGACCGCAACTGCATATGTATCCTTTTTTGGTATTTTCATGCAAATTCTTCTGCTAGTTGGGGTTTAGTCTACTTCTGTATCCTTCCCTTCAAGGCTCAGCAGTCCAAGATTATCTTCTGTGTCTGTGTCAATTGGTTTCCCTTTTCTTTGTTGAAGAGGGTCTGTGCAGTCCTTCTGCCTAGTCTGCCATCTTGCCAGAACACCTCCTTCCTCATTTTCTTGTTCATGACACTTTATCAGATGCAAACCAAGCTTTTGGCTTCAGCAACATGAATGTGGGAGTGTCACTGGAAACACTATTGTTGTTGTTATTTGTGTTGTCAAGTCGGACCCGACTCATAGCAACCCCTCCTTGGGTTTCCTAGGTGGTATCACTACGGAAGTAGATTGCCCAACCTTCCTTCCGACGAGTGGCTGCTGGGTTTGAACTGCCAGCCTTCTGGTTAGCAGTCAAGTGCCTTAGGCACTACGCTACCGGAGCTTTAGGAAGGTTTTTTCACAAGGTTATACATGTGGCCCTTGTGCTTGCCTCCCGGGAGACTCCATTACAGAAGCAGTTCTGGAAACCCAATAGTCAGGGAAGGAAGCACAGGGGCACAGGAGCTTTAGCAGTTAGTTTCCCAGCTTCAGTTTGAAATAAAAACCTGATGTATTGAGGAGTCCTTCCCAAAAAAGTTCAAGATCGACTGTTCAGTGATGATACCACAGTCCAGCCATCTGTGAAACTGTTGTCAGTTGGAAGGAAGGAACGTTGGTCAGTGCAGCTGAGCCGGGCAGTGTCTTCTGCAGAGAGCTGAAGCTCTGCTGACCTCTGCACTGCTGGCCTGGCCTGAACTCCCAGCGCCAGATGAGGAGGAAAGCCTTCATGTGAGCCCTTGCTACAGCATGGGGCTAGCATTTCCCCTTCAAAGATAGACATGACAGAATGAGAGCAAGACATGCTTTAACAATGAATCGACAACAACAAAAATACACATTTATTATAGAAATTAAAAATAAATGCATCATATGCACACATCTCCTGCCTCAGGCATGAATCCAGTCACAGCTTGTTGAGGACTGAACTAAAGTGTGCCTTTGCATTGCCTGAGGGAAGAAATCATTTTTTGAGCAAATGAAAAGCATGTGCAGCATCTGCCTCATGCCCTCCAAGCGTGAGGGAGGTGGCTAAGTGGGCACCGGCTCACTAGGCTGCCTTTGGTGGGGCCACCACCCTCTGACCAAGTGGCTGGAGCCTGAGGGGCAGGAATAGACAAAGTTGTCTCATTTCCTGCATGTGGAATCACTTTTTCCTGTATTTACATGGGCCCTTAAGTTTGCACATCAGCCTACTGTTGTTGAACTTCCAAAGCCCTGACACCTTGCTCCAGCTCCACCCTTTGAAGAGTAAAAAGAAAATAAATAAATAAAAGACATTAACATACCAAAGGATAACTACAACAGCTAGAAAAATAACACAGTATTCTTCAAAATAGGGTCTGTTGACCCTCAACATCAGCATCACCAGGAACTTATTAGAAATGCTAATTCTCAGACCCCGCCCCAGACTGACTAAATCAGAATCTGGAGATGGGGGCGGGCAGTCTGTTTTCAGGAACCCTCTAGGAAATTTGAGTACATGTGCAAGCTTGAAAGATCTTGACATGATCCAGGCAAATTTTAGCTTTCTGGAAGATGACTGGATTTTTACCAAATAATAATGGAATTCCATTTTGAAAATTTAAGCAACATAAACTCTTTAGGTATAGCATTATCTACATCTTCACATTCTCCACTGCTAACCACCACTGCTAACTGAAAGCTCGGCTGTTGGAACCTGCCAGCTGCTCCATGGGAGACAGGAAACCCTATGGGGCAGTTCTACTATGTCCTGTAGGATTGCTATGAGTTGGGTTATGGCTAAGCCAGAGTTCAGTGGCATAGGCATTGTGTTAAGTAACATCAACCAAGGACACTGATTTTACCCTCTGCCATTTAGCTCTGCATAGATTGCCAGCCCTATGGGGCCAATGAGAGTTGGAGACTGAATGTCTCCCAAAGTCTTTTCTATCACTTCTGACATCTTAAGAGCCTGTAGTTTTTGTATTTGGTAAGGGTGGTTATCACAAAGTCAGTTACCCACAAATTAGATTATATTAGCTGAAAGCCACTAAAGCACCAGATACTTGGAATTCATGTATTATTTTTCTGATTTCGTTTTCTTTTCATCAGGTTGTTTCATTTCCCCCTTCTGTTTGTGACCCAGGTGGGGTCAGGTCTGTTGCTCATCAACGTTGTGCCTTGTGCCAGATGCCCATGTCATCAGGAGGTAGACCTGAATTGTCCATGCTGCTGTGACCTGTAGGGAAGTCAGAATCAGAGATGGAGGAGGGAGGCAGAGGTAGCACAGAGGTCCATGGACTGTGGAGTTGCAAAGTGATGACTCAGAATCCTGGCCCTGCTGTTTCCTTGCCATGAGATTCAGGGCAGCTCCCGTAATCTGTCTCAATCTCAGTTTCTACATCACTATCAAAATAGTGATAATTGTACCATCTATTCCATAGGGACTCAAGTGAGTCAGAATCGACTTGATGGCAGTGGGTTTGGTTTTGGTTATCCCACAGGGTTACAGTATCGGTTAAATGAGATGATACATGTGAGGTGATACTACAATGCCTGGCACATACTAAGTGGTCAATAGGTGTTAGTTATTTTTTTCTTGATAATATTATTACTGCTGTTATTACAGAGTGGTTCGCAAGGGTTGAGTGTGAGCTGGAGGAAGCAGCTAGCCTCTCCATAAGCCTTTGGTAAATTGTTAGTGGTTGACACGTTCACATTGTGACAATGACTGAGGGTTCTAAATGCCGATCCTATTGTTGAAATTTGTGATCTGGTAGATCAGCTCACCTTCCCATTTCTCTTCTAGCCTGTGACTGTGACCCCAGGGGCATTGAGACGCCACAGTGTGACCAGTCCACGGGCCAGTGTGTCTGCGTTGAGGGCGTCGAGGGTCCACGCTGTGACAAGTGTACTCGGGGGTACTCGGGGGTCTTCCCTGACTGCATGCCCTGCCACCAGTGCTTTGCTCTTTGGGACGTGATCATTGCTGAGTTGACCAACAGAACCCACAGATTCCTGGAGAGAGCCAAGGCCTTGAAGATTAGTGGAGTGATTGGGCCTTATCGGGAAACTGTGGACTCTGTGGAGAAGAAGGTCAATGAGATAAAGGACATCCTGGCCCAGAGCCCAGCAGCAGAGCCACTGAAAAACATTGGGAATCTCTTTGAGGAAGCAGAGTAAGTGGTTAATGAACCAGAATAACAATACACAGTATTTCTGCAGCATCGTGAATAAACAGCAGAGATTGTGGCAGGGTGCTGACTAGCTTTCCTTCCGTCACGGGGCATGGTTAGTCCTGTGAGTAAAAACACATTCTCGGCCATTCATTTTCCAGCACAGCCTTTACTCTGGGTGTTTGGGTGAGTGAACGTTTGCACATCATTGGAGACCAACGTTCTTGAGGCTGCGGTATCAAATGTGTGCATGTTATAGTCAGTGGTCCTCCCTGTAACCTATGCTCTGAGGCAGTAGAGTGGCAAGAACACTGGATTTAGAGTCAAAAGAGCCATCACTGAGTCTCAGCTCTGCTCCTTGCTATGCTTATGGACTCAGATAATTAATTCCTGAGCCTCTGTTTTCTCTCCTGCAAGTGTGTGTCTGCTGCGGAGAGGATAATAATATTGTTAGATAGTATTATATAATATTATATATTTATATAGAATATAATAATATTATTATTATTATCTGAGTGTCTCCCGGAGAAGGAGAAACTCTGGTGTCTTTTGACAGCCTGCCGGAGAGTCCACAGTCCTGACACAGCTGTTTATTTAACTAGATATCTTGTCATCATCTCAGGAAAACTAGTTTCATTAATCTTTTTTCAATCCAAAGCCCAACGGTGCATGTTTTAGAGTTCTAATAGGGCTTACTTTAAAATACACACAGTATTAGATTTGATTTGCCATTGGGTCAATTGCAGTTCATAGTGACCCCATTGGAAAGAGAAGAACTGCCCCATAATTGCTATTATTTTAAGTTTTGCTACTACTGAGGAAAGTCCATTACCACAAATAAGACTCTTTGTTTCCAAATTATTTTTGCTGCTCAGCCATTGGTCTGCTAGACTAGTGCATCGTTCATCTAATTATTACAAATTTTCTGTAAGAAGAAATCTTTTTCCTAGCTCTTGTTTAAATAATTCTCTCTCTGACTGGATAGTGTTTATTTTGCCAAAGAAAGGAAACAGAATTGAGCTGACTCATGCTGAACTTCTGAGGGGTAATTTCTCTACTCTTTCTTGTATCCTCATCCATTCTAAGTACCTTTGCCAAACATTCCTTTGACTGAAAGAACCCCAAAAAAAACACAACATAGTAAGATCTAGGAGCTGAAGGAAAAAACAGATTTGAGATTCTCCAAATGCTGTTTTTCATTACACACTGACCATGTAGGAACGAGTGATGGGACTTTCTTGTAATCCTGTACATTGAGGTGATTTTACATTACAACAGAATACAGTAACATTTTTTTGTGATGAGGCCTTAATCAGCATCTCTGAGGAGTCCTGGGTGGCATGGATGTTTAAGTACTCAGCTACTGACTGAAGGTCAGTGGTTTGAACCCACCCACAGCTACCTCGGAGGAAAGGTCTGCTGCTCTGCCTCGGAGAGGCCACAGCCTTGCAGACCCTCTGGAGTGCAGTTCTAGGCTGCAACACATGGCGTCACCACAAGCCAGACTTGACCCCATGGCAACTGGTTTGGTTTTCAGAAGCCAGACACACCTTTGACCTCAATGCAATGTATGAGAATCAGGAAGGCAACAGGTGTATTAGCTCAAGTGATTTGTAGAAGGTCCTTCCAAAGGGAGCTGAATTTCAAATAACTGGTCTCTTGATTTCACAAGCCTCAAGTTTTGTGCCCAAGACCAAATGGTTACACAGGGTGTTAGGAAAGGTTGGATGTGGGCTGATCAAGCATTTAAAGAGGACTTTCATCTCATGAGAAAGACTAAGGTGCAGCTCAGCTTCCTAATACACAGCGCTCACTGGAGGGCAGGAGTCTGTGTGTAAGCTCACTGAGGACACTATCTTGACCTGGTCGCCGAGTGCTTCCTGGAGAAGGAGAAACTCTGGTGTCTTTTGACACCCCGCCAGAGAGTGTCAGCTCTGCGTCTGCCCTTCTATTTATTTAACTAGATAGCTTGTAACCATTTTAGGAAAACTATAGTTTCACTAATCTTTTTTCAAGGCAAAGCCTAAGAGTATATGTTTTAGGGTTCCAAGAGGGCTTACTTTAAAATACACACAATATTAGATTTGATTTGTTTAAAATTGTGACATTTTATGAGACTTAAAAAGAAATGAAAGCCTTCTGTGAATCAGCTGATTAACAAAAGCACAAAGAAACTATGTATTTTAATATCCTCAGGAAAAAAAACCATGGGATTTTCTAAAGGTAATTTAATCTACCAAATCAGATGATCTGTTTAAGTATTTGTTCTTTGAATGGAGTCCGGCTTTATGACCACCATGAAAATCATGTTTCTAACAGCTCCCAACCTTCTAGCATCTCCAGATTTCCCAGTTTTTTACGTTGATTGGTATACCCTTGAGAAGACAGTTCAGTTCAGTGAATTAGTAACACAAAGCTAAGGTCTTTTCAAATACTGCTTTCTCTGTGATTTTATGTACACACACACACACACACACATATACATACACACTGTATATATGCACAGTAATAAACAAATAGATGCCTAAAGTATGGCTTTATAGATAGTTAAGACACAGAACAAAACAGTTGGGTTTAGATTTCAAATGAAATATTGTGAAAGCTAAACATTGATCGTATTTCACTCTCAGTAGATACTACCTTCTTTCTTATGAAAAATAAAAGGCCCGTTTGTTGATGGAAGGAGGCGGCTCCTTGCTTGAAGGGGAGTGGATGCAAAGCAGATTTAGATGACACTCAGTTGTCTTCCAGGTGGGCTGTAGGTCTTCCTCTGTACATGTTCCATCTTGCAGAAGACCCCTGAGGCTCAAAGAAAAATATATTTGGCAGGTTGTGGGGAGGCATAATTTTATACTGGAGTCCTTTATGTCTTTTTGAGTTTGTGTGATTATGTGAACTGGAAGCTGTTTACATATGAAGGTGGGCCACCACATTCTTACCTGTGCCCACATTACAATAGATTTAGAATCCCTCAGATGGTCCGTTCTCTGCAGCACAGCTTAGTGGCACCTCTGTGTTTTTCTTCAAAACCTTTGAAAAAACACAAAGTGCTAGATGTAATATCATCACTTAAAATAAGGAGAATAAAACCAGTACTTAGAAAGAAATGAATTGTTACAAATTACTGAATTCATTTGAAATTACACAGAGCAGTGGATACAGTATGAATAGAAAATGTAAAACTGACACTTTAAAATTTCTCTTTGGTTTATTTTACATCGGCAGACTTATCCTTCTCTTTACAGGAAGTTAACCAAAGAGGTTACAGAAAAGATGTCTCAGGTAGAAGTGAAATTATCTGACACAGCTTCACAGAGTAACAGCACAGCTGAAGAATTAGACTCTCTGCAGAAAGAAGCAGAAAGACTGGACAACACAGTGAAAGAACTTGCTGAGCAACTAGAATTTATCAAAAACTCAGATATTCGGGGTGAGCATTTTTTGTGCAGATATTCAAAACTGGATAATAACCATCTTTCTAACCACTTAATGCACTACTTGTAGGGGGAAAAAAAATCTAGTGCTTTCTAATAATTATTAAACTTTTGGTCATTGAGTTGCTGCACAAATGAGATTAATGTCCCCATTAATGTGGGAATTGGGGCCCAAAGAGACTAAGTGACATAGCAAAGGTCCCACAGAGTAAGTAGTAGTGATTGCATTAGAATGGGATCTGTTTTCTGATGTTTCTTTTCAGTGAGTGGTTCAGCCACCATAGGCTTTTGTTGAAAAGGCGCTCTTTTAAATACTTAAGAACTTAAATTAATAATTCTGCAAATCCTTTTATGTTTTAAAATGTTGCTTGGTCAGGGAATAATTAGTGCAAATGCTTCATTTGCTGATATCATAGGCCATTGTTCTGGTTCCCTAATGCCACTCTGACAAGAGTATACCGCAAATGGGATGGCCTTAACAAACAGGAGTTTATTCTTACAATTTGGAGGCTTTAAGTCCGAATTCAAAGTGCCAGGCTCTAGGAACTGGGTAAAAGCCTCTCCACCTTGGGGACCAGCTCTGCCTTCTGCTCCTGGCTCACCGCAGCTAGAGGCACTCTTCACCCAGACAGCTGCTGGCTGCTGAGGCTGCCAAGCCCAAGGTTGACAAGTGAAAAGACACAGTTCTGATGTTACCAAACCACATGGCAGGCCATTAATTTAAGTCCATTGTAAGTCCCAAGGTCGGCAGAGCATGGCAGGCTGCTGAACAACATGGCTACATGCAGGGTTCAAGCGTGCCATAAGCTAGAGACCATTTCCAAAGCTGCTGTTTATATACGGGAAGCAGACCACATCCCTAAAGTAGCTACTCAGCTACTTGTGGTAGATCCCAGCATGGAGCTGATTGCCAGTCTCATCATGGGGAATAACTACCACCAGCTGCCAGCCACTCAACCAGGCCCAGCCAAGTTGACACACAGCCTTAACCACCACAGCCATATATAGGACCAAAAATAAACCGGTTGCCATTAAGTCAATTCTGACTCATAGTGACCCTATAGGACTAAGTGGAACTGCCCCGTAGGGTTTCTAAGGCAGTAAGTCTTTACAGAAGCCAACGCCCTCATCCTTCTCCTGCTGAGAAGCTGGTGATGACTAGCCAAGTGCTTAACCAGGTGCCACAATGTCTCCTCACCCCTAAAAAGCAAAAGAAAGTAGAAATGTCAGATCACACCATCCATCCCTATTTTGTGCCCAATTGCTTTTTTTTTCGGCTTGGTCCCTAAAGCATTTTTTGTCTGTTTTATGTACATTCTAGCCATTTGCATTGGGCTCAGTCAAATGAGACAAGGGAAAATTCATCTGGACATGATAGGCTTCCAGATACCAGCTATTTAGAAATGACTGGATGTTTGGCTGTGTGTGGGAATAACATCTGCTTGACAATTTTTCACTTTTTATCCAGATGTTTGGCCATCTCCAGACTCAGACTCGGCACTAAGGGGACAAAATATATTCATTGTTCTGGAGAGAGAACATGTACCTCTTCGTGAAGATTTTCTTCTTGAATTTTACAACAAAATCATGCAGTCAATTTAAGGCCCCAGACACCAAATATGGTATTGCTTGGTGAGGAGATCAGGTTCAACAGAATTAACTGGGCAATTTTGTTTCTGCCATAGGTGCCTTGGACAGCATTACCAAGTACTTCCAGATGTCTCTTGAAGCAGAGGAGAGGGTGAATGCCTCCACCACAGATCCCAACAGCACTGTGGAGCAGTCAGCTCTCACTCGAGACAAAGTGGAAGACTTGATGCTAGAGCAAGAGTCCCAGTTCAGGGAAAAACAAGAGGAGCAGTCTCGCCTTCTTGACGAACTGGCAGGCAAACTCCAAAGTCTAGACCTTTCAGCCACTGCTGAGATGGTGAGGTTTGGGGGCTTGGCCTTCCTGACTGCTGTAGTGCTTTAGGAGCAAAAAGAACCTGCTTTGTCATTTATAAAGGAGTCCTGGTGACACAGTGGTTAGCCGCTCAGCTGCTAACCAAAAGGTCGGTGGTTTGAACCCACCAGCTGCTCCATGAGAAAAGGAGGAGGCAGCCTGCTTCCGTAAAGACTTAGAGCCTTGGAAACTCTATGGGGCAGTTCTGCTCTGTCCTATAGGGTCACTATGAGTCAGAAGCCACTTGAGGGCAGTGGGTTTGGGCTTATCTTTGATATTATTCACTTTGCAAATGAATCCATAGGAGAGAAACTCCCGGGCTCAGGTCCCTGGATGACAGTACAGGGTATACTTGACCAAGTTGAATTAAAAGCAACAATCCTCATGTTTCTACCTTTTCCCTCTCTTCTAGCTATATTTCTCTGTGATAGAACCAAGGAACTATAGTCTATGTTCCCATACTATTGTATGGACCCAGTGCCTGCTTACTTAAACTTGATCCTTTTTATACTGTATAATTTCTTTTTTACTTTGTGCTGATTGTGAGTACAAAATCCATCTCAGTGGAGGAATTAAGAACTGTTCTGTGAAGAACTTCCTAAAAACAATTAAGAGAGCCAAGGAATTTTTTTCATGGGTGTCAGCTGAAATGTTCCTTTGTTCCAGTAACTTTACCTGGTGAAGGTTAACCCTGAAAGCGGCCTAAAAAGTAGATGCATTTTCCAGAACCTTTTAAAAAGTATCCCTGGAGCCAAATGAAATTGAGTAGTGAGATTAATGAAAATCAGGCAAAAGGCCAAAAAAAAAAAAGCCAAACTGAGCCTGTTTCTTCCTCCTGCTTCCTTTTTGTTTTTCATGAAAGGGGTACCTATCTGAGAGAATTTGAAGGGCATTTTTTGTTGACTAAGTCTTGTGTTCGCTTGGTTAGAAACACAGGTGCATAAGATAATGTGAAGCATTTAGACTTTGTTACAATTTTGTCTTGGTGTAGTTCCCTCTCTGAGAGTGAGAGAGAGAATGAGAAGAACATGCCATCTGTACTGTATTGTGACCACTTCTATCGATGCCTACCAGGTGTTCCATTCATTATCTCATGCATAGGGTTTTCAAGGCTGTAAATCTTTACAAAAGCAGACTGCCTCATCTTTCTCCCACATAGCAGCTGGTTCAAGCTGCCAAACTTTCATTAGCAGTCGAATGCTTTAACCGCTATGCCACCAGAGCTTCTTAGGAAATTCTGCCCTGTCTGTAGACATAGAGAGTAAATATGTCTCCTGTCACCATTTAGAAAGGAAAATGGAAGCCTAGAGCAATGTGTAAATTGTTTCTCACAGTAGAGAACACTGTCACATATACACAGAAAATGCCTGTTCTCTCTTCATCTTCTTTCCTCTCGATTCTGATTCTTTCCTCACAAATTACACTAAAAAATCAGTTATCACAAACAGATCACATCTCTGCAGACTACAGTGGGAAGGAGCTGTGCACGCAAGAGGGTTCTTGCTTTGCAACAGGCAGCATCTCGTGAGTCAGTCAGGGGGTCGGGGTCTTTAGTCCTGTCCTGTGCTTCCTTTTCCACCCCCTAAACTACATAGGAGGAACTCTGTTAGCATAGTGGCTAAAGCACTTGACTACTAACCAGAAGGCTGGCGGTTCAAACCCGCCAGCCACTCCTCGGAAGGAAGATGGGGCAATCTACTTCCGTAGCGATACTGCCTCAGAAACCCAAGGAGGGGTCACTATGAGTCAAGTCTGACTCGATGAACTACCTAGAATTAGCCAGCTCCTTAGGTTCTTTTTATTGATTTATTTTCAGTTCTTACTAACAGTCTTTAAGTCTCTTCTGTTATTTTTTCTTTAAATTCTATTTATTTTGTTGTTGAGATATACACAGCAAAACACACCAATCCAACTGTTTCTGCATTCAGTGGCATTGATTCCATCCAGTTGTGTGACCATTCTCGCCCTCCTTTTCTGAGCTGTTCCTCCCTCATTAACGTAAACTCACTGCCCCCTACGGTTCTTGTCTATTCTAGTTCTCTTATTTTCATTTTGTTCTTGTGAATTATTCCAGGCGAATTCCCCTTACAGGTTCCATACGGCCATTTCCTTGGGTAAAGAGATTTTGTATCCCTTTGTGTTCTTCAGATACCTTCAGTCCTTTATCTCTGTGTCTGTTTAGCTAGAACCATGCATTTTTTCATGCCTGTCTGCTGAAATAAACAGACTTTCTGGTGTGCTCTCAGATTGTTTTTAGAAATACCTGAGGCCTTACACTCCTCTTCCTAAAAGTACCCTTTTGCACATAGGATGAACTTTATTTTCTGAAGCTTTTTATGTACTGTAAACCAGTTATTAATTTGAGACATAAATGGGCTTATAATTATTTTGAAAGTATTAGGCTAAAGAGTTTATATCTATTCTCTACTCTTAAAAACGCTATTTTTCTTGCTTCAGAGTATTGTTAACTACTTTTCATTTCAGTAAACCCTCTGTCTCTTCAGGTTTTTCACAAAAGCATTGCTCTACATATTATTTTCTTCTTTTTCAGCCTTTTCCTTAATATAACATACATGTAATTTCTGAATTTATCTGCCAAGATCATTGATAAGTTTCTGCTAGATATGAGTATGTGTGGAGAAAGTCTTTGGAAAAGCTGTATTCATTGTTGCTTATACTGTTTTTTGTCTTCATCTCACATCTGGAATGTTCTCCCTCTTCCCGTGTTCAAATTCCACGAGCCAGCAAACCCGCCCCCAACTACTGTAACCCTCTCATTTGTCTGCTTTCCTTCATACTTAAGGCAACTGACCTCTTCTTGGCTGGTTTGTGTGGGGTGATCCCATCTTCCTAAGTAGATGGAAGATTACTAAAAGAGTAGATAAATGGCTTCTTAACATCACTGTAGTTGTCAGAGCAGTTAACATGGTGCTGGGCTCAAAGTTTTCTCAGTACGTATTTTTTTAATCCAGCTGGTTAGCAGAAGAGGAGATCTTCTTTGGCTCTCACGTTAATAAAATTCAACTTGATAAAGCAGATAATATTTGCATCCTGGACAAAGCCCATATGGTATTCAAATTCGTTGGCAAGGGATTATAAACTTTGTTTCCTTGGTGATAAGCAGGTTAGTTTATTCCTAAACTTTGTTCCTTTCTCCATCCTGCCTTCTAACACCATTTAAAGCACCTTTGCTGAGGACCACCTACATGCTCTGTGGGGCCACCCAGGCCCTCTACAGCTGTTAAATTGCAGCAGACTCACTATCTGAACCCTCTGTGCCTGACCCTTGGTTTTACAGACCTGTGGAACACCTCCAGGGGCCTCCTGCTCCGAGACTGAGTGTGGCGGCCCAAACTGCAGAACTGATGAAGGACAGAAGAAGTGTGGGGGACCTGGCTGTGGTGGTCTGGTCAGTGTTGCACACAGCGCCTGGCAGAAAGCTATGGACTTTGACCGAGATGTCCTGAGTGCCCTGGCTGAGGTGGAACAGCTCTCCAAGATGGTAATTCAGTGGATGACCTCTGTTGTTTTTGTTGTTTGTCTGCTTGCTTCGAGTTGTAGATTGGAGAATCTGAAAGGAGAAGTCCATTCTGAATGCTGATGACAATGAAAAGGGAATTCCACACTTAAGTAACGAACATTTGTGTTTGTGTGAGGTCGGGAAAGAGAAGGGGAGGTTTTATACATAGTAAAAAAATTTGGTTTCCTCTTACTTAGGAGGCTGGAGGGTAGGACAGGGAATACACATGCTTTACAGCAAGAAACTTAAACTTTAGGCTACCAATAATTTGGTATAATCATGTTTCTTATCATGGGTCCAGGTTTATGAATAAATCTGGCTATACCTACATCCATTCTGTACTTAGCAGTTAAGCATTTATTCTTCTGAAGTGACACAAACTGTTACCTAAGTGTTTATGTTGGTGCCTGAGACAAAGACTCCAAAACCAAATCAAAGTTCATGCCATCGAGTCGACGGTGATTCATAGCAACCTCATTGGATTTCTGAGGTGGTAAATCTTTACGGAAGTCTATAGCCCCATCATCCTTCCACAGAGGGGCTGGTGGGTTTGAACTGCCAACCTTCTGGTTGGCAGTCAAATAAATGCTGTAGACACTATGCCACCAGAGCTCCTTGAGACAAAGACTAGGGAACATTTTACTAGAGTGGCCAAATGATTTGAAGGAGTTCAGAAATGTGAAACATTTTATATGCTAGGCCTATCTATACAGGAATGTTGTATAGGAATCTGTCTATGAGTACTTTCAGTGTGTACAGGAATACACTCTTTTGTTGAATCGAAGAAATTTGTTTCCAGAAGTCCGTGATTCCAAATGTTTTAATTTTTCAACATCATTTTCTGGATCATTTCTGATGTTCTGTTCTTCTTTAGTAAGAGTGATCCTGTTTCATGGGTAATTTATGCCTCATACCAGGTCTCCGAAGCAAAACTCAGAGCAGATGAAGCAAAACAGAACGCTCAAGAGGTTCTGCTGAAAACAAATGCAACCAAAGAAAAAGTAGACAGGAGCAATGAGGATCTAAGAAATCTGATCAAGCAAATCAGAAACTTCTTGACCCGTAAGGAAACTTTTCATCGTCACTTTCCTTTTGGACATTTGTTTCTGTCTTAGAATGTAAAGCTTAATATGTAAGGTTTTCTGTTTGGAAGGTCATGAATCAAACCTGTATTTCAGCTAAAACCAGTTTCTGGCAGGTGATAACGTAACATTTCCAAATAAGAAAAATTTCTGTGATAAGAAGTGTTTCCATTTGATAGAATGCTTACATCACGTGTATGTAAGTAACTTTCTCCAATGTTAATACAGATACAAACCTAATGGGATAGTCAAGAAGCAAATCAGCAAGTCAATTATTTACTGTGAGAACTGGATTTGGAATTTATATTAGAGATCAAATATAATGGCGTTAGAACTTTATCTCAAAGTATGAGAGTGTGTTATTTTGGTATTGCCCCAAGCTCTGTAATCCTATTATTTCCAGATATTATACATATGGTTATACTCTGTACCTTAAGTTCCTATAGAGAAAAAGAAAATCTCTAGAATTTGTGATCCAACTCACAAATGCTCACAAGTGCTAGTCACAGTCTAAGTGTTAGCAATAAGAATGGTTTTGGCTACAAGTTACAAAAAATGCTCATTTGAAATTCAGTTAATCAGAAAGGACGTTTATTATCTCATGTAACAAGACATCCAGTCATAGGATTGCTCCAAGTTTCAGGCACCCATGTACTTTACATCTTTCTGCTTTGCCATCTTAAGTGTATGAGCTTTGTTCTCAAGCTCATGGTAAGATGACTTCACATAAAAAATACAATATCCAATAAAAGAGGAGACTACCTATTCTTTTGCTGTCTTCTTAAAAGGGAGGAAACCTTCCCAGAAGCCCTCAAGCCATCCATCATCTCATAAATCTCATGGACCAGAAGTGAGTCATAGGCCCTGCATAAATGTCATTGGCAAATGGAATGGGATTGTCATAACTGACAGGCTAATCAGGATTTAACTCTGAGTTGATATTTACCTTAGTTTAGAGGTAGATGTCTGAACAAAATCAGGATTCTGCTAGCAAGGAAAAAGGGGGTGGGGGATGGGTAGTAGTAAGGAGCCAACAGTATTTGCTATGGACACCTTAAGGAGTATCTTGTGAAAGCCATCATTCAGTCCCCTATTTTCATCGTATTAAATGCACTGGGATCCTTTTTTCTGTTGACAGTCAAAAAAAAAAAAAAAGTACAAATGAGTAATCTGAGGCATGTGAAGTTTCATCTCATCATAATTTCTTTGACTTTTCACATTTGACATTTTAAAACTCCTTAGTTTTGACCCTCCTGGTTCTCTGCCTGGGTCATCTCCCTTTCTGTAATCTGAAGAAATTTATAATGATTATCAACTTGTATGTCTGCATTTACAATAATATCTTAACTGTTCTTCCAGCCTCAACTGAAAGTTTTCATTGCCATTTACGATCAAGCATCAGCCCTGGTCTCAGATTGTCCACAATCTGAACCCATATGCTGAGCTAGGTTTTCACATTAACAAACATGCTCTGCCCATACTATCTCTCCATCCAGAAATGTCCCTCTTTCTCCTTTCAAATCCTGTTTGCTCTTCAACATCTTAGCAGTTCCCTCATCCTCCTGGCAGCCTCCCTTATTCACTGCCCCAGCCTACCTCAGATTCCGGTAGGACTCATTGTGCAGTTACTTTTCATGTGTGTAGGCGTCATCTCCCACTGAATTAGATTGTAAACTCAAAGGGGAAGTGTGTATCTCTTTCTTGATATAACCCCAGTGCTGTTCACAGTGAAGATGCACTGATAAGCAGCTGAATGAGTGACCCATCTTTGCATTCCACAGAGGATAGTGCTGATTTGGACAGCATCGAAGCAGTTGCTAACGAAGTGTTGAAAATGGAAATGCCTAGCACCCCACAGCAGTTACAGAACCTGACAGAAGATATTCGTGAACGAGTTGAAAGCCTTTCTCAAGTAGAGGTTATTCTACAGCAAAGTGCTGCTGACGTGGCCAGAGCTGAAATGTTGTTAGAAGAAGCTCAAAGAGCCAGGTATCTGAAGACATTCTGGCATTTGGGTGGCTTACTTTGAGTACCTAGCAGGAATGTGTAGGTTTACTTCTTTTTTTTTTTTTTTTTTGTTGGATTATGAGTAGGTTTAATTTTCAAGGCTATCCTTCAATGCTATGAGCAACAGCTTTAAAATATGTTTGATTTCTTTCACATTTTTGCCTGATTTTAACATCTTTACTGACATAC